TGACTCAATGGAGCATCTTCCTATACACTTAGCATATGAAGCAAAAATAGTCGGACTCGTATAATATCGATGGATGTATCCATTTGAAAGGTACAAATTAATGATTTTTGTGGACATACGTAAGTTTATTATAGCTCGTCAAATATTGATTAAGTCTAATGAACTCACAATATTATTGTAGGTACCTTCGGAAATTAAAAAATAATGTTAAGAACAAAGCCGTAATCGAAGGGTCAATATGCAATGCATATTTAGTTGGGAAAGCTTCAATGTTCCGTTCATATTACTTCGAGCCTCATGTACACACTAGGCATCGAAAAGTGCCTAGAAACTTTGATCGTGATCGAGAACCGAATGAAAATATTGAAGGCATGTTAGCAATATTCATTCCTAAGGGTAGACCTCTTGATCGAACACGATCACATATCCCGACGGATCAAGAAAAGAATACGACGCACACTTACATTCTATTGAACCGTGATGAGGTGACACCGTATATGGAGTAAGTTTTATTACTATCAAATATTATTACTATACATTTATTCATTAACAACCATTCAATTTAAGAACATATAATAACAATATTTTTATCGTCGGATATTTTATCGATCAACTTTATGAAAGTGACCTCGACATATCGAAAAACGAGGTTGATTTTCGACTTCAAAACCAATTTGCATCATGGTTTCATCGATATGTGAGTATTCATGCTGTAAAGATTGTTATTAAATATTCATAAATTTATTTTATCAAATTTTATTATTACATTACCTTATAAGTAACTCGGTCCTTACATACAGGCAAGTCGAGCACAACCTAAAACTATAACAAATCATTATATTAAAGATTTGGCCAAAGGACCATTACGAATCGCGAAGTCGTATGCGGGGTACATTATAAATGAATATAAGTTTCATACCGATGTTGGTGGTTCGAAGAGAGCATCAATGTGGAGTGAAGTGTGTGTTAAAGGAGTTAACTATGGTGAGGTGGAAAATGACTACTTCGGTAGGTTGATTGACATACTCGAACTTGAGTATCCAGCCTTACCAATAAAGAAAATAGTTTTGTTCAAATGTGATTGGTATGATACAACACACGGTACCGGTACATGAGTTCATGATCATTATGGACTAGTTGAGGTTCATAGTCGTAGGTATTCAAATAGATCCGATCCATTCATACTAGGATCACAAGCACATCGGGTGTATTATGTAACATATCCTATATGTAGACGCATACGACGAGACCGGTTGGCGGTATGTAAGGTTAAGCCATGGCCTAAGGGTTGATGTGCCAAAAATGTCCGTTATCGTCGATCAAACCAATATCGAACCCTTTCAAGAAAATGAAATAGAAGGTCAACACAATGTCGTGCACATTGATGATGATGAAGGTCGATCATTGATTGATCCTACCGAGCATTATTAGAATTGGACGGTGATGAAATAGATATTCGGGATGGATCGGAGTTAGAAACCGATGTTAAAGAAGACTTAGATGAAGAATGTGACAATGATTATAATGATAGTGATTAGAGATAATATGATATATCCCATTGGATTATGTTATATTGTATTTTTTATTCAATTCATAAATTATGCACTTGGATTTTATGTAATTGTTGTTCGAATTTAAGGGTTTAGGCAACCTTGTCCTCCCGAATGTTGGGATAGGCTGGTTTTATCCCCCAAGTGTAATTTTTTAAACTATTTTAATAAATCTCCAGTGGTATCGTCCTCGTTCGTCATAATTTTAGGAAAAAATTAGATTTATTCGTATGGTTACTTACATAGTTAACATATAATTTTTAAAGGTAAGATTTAATTAAATAAATATTTATGATTTATTGTTGTTTAGTATAAATCAATTAGTTCATATTAATTTGAATGTTATATGTAAGTATATATGCATTATATAATTAATATGTTATTTAACAATTATTGACTTTAATAATTAATATGTACGTAGGTCATAATGACTCGAGGTAGGGGTCGTGGTTCGGATATCGATCGGTCCGACGGTGATCATGGACGTCGTAGACACCCTTCTTATTTTGCTCATGGTCGGATGGATCCCCCACCGGACATGCCTCCGTACCACTCTTTCGGTGGCCCCTCCACATCCCGTTCCATGCCCGTCGGGTCTCGGCCGCAGCCTTTTGAACCTCCACGTCAACCTCCCTCATATTTTTCATCGTCATCACATCGGGACGACCGTTCCGTTCCTCAACACGTTCCACCCCATAATGTCCCGCGTCAATCAGCTTTAGAGCCAATAACATCCGCGGTTGACCATCGAGTACGGGTCATTGTTATCGGGCGCAATGAGTACGGTTTATGCTTCATTTAATTAAAAAAATTTTTGGTTATCGTTATTATCTACTCGTTATTTATGAATTTAATTAATGTTTATTCTTTTGTAGGTTGTATCCTTCCGATGTTTGCTCTCGCTCGATCGTTAAGACATTCCAAGAGTATGTTCATTCTTCGGGATGGATGTGGAAAAAAATGACTCCGGAGACAAAAGATTTTTACCGGGAAGAATTTAAGGTTCTAATTTCTAAATTCTATTTGATTAATTATATTATTTAATATTTAATTAAATTGTATAAAATAATATGAAAGTAAAGTTAGTAGTGTATATTTTTTTTGTCGAAATCATTTAAGTGGGATGATGATTTGAACGAGAGCATAGTTAAGAAAGCATGGGAAAGTCTCGCACGGAAGCGATATTCGACTTCCTTTGTCGTCTAAGGAAAAACCGAAGCCGCATATATCTCGCAGGAAATATGAGATGCATGGACTACGGAATGGACGAAACCCGAGGCCGTTGCTCGATCCGAGATGGCAGCATGGAACCGTAGGATCGAAACTAGTGGAGTCGGAGCCGGTCCTTCTAGACATACGGGGGATCAATTAGCTATAGAGAGCACGCCATACGCATGGTAAAAAAAATATATTATTTAATTTATTTATAATTTTTTTAAAAAATAATACCCAAAATAATTAATTAAATATTTGACTATATTTAATACATTTATGTTTATTTATATATGTTTTCAGCGTAATGTGTTGGGTCGTGAACCCGATCCTCACGAGGTTTTCTTGAGGACTCATCAAAGAAAGGTTAATGATCGCTTAGTCTTCATCGATCAACTGGTCGAGGGTTATCGGAGTAAGTGATAAATTTGAAACATTATTTAATATCTCGTTAGTTAATAACGTTTTTTGACAACCGTATTTGATGTGACGTTTTCATAATTATACAGAGACCGTACAAAGATTAATTAATGAGGAAGAGGTTGCTAGCCGACAGTCGGAAGGGACCGAAGCAACCGCACCCGACATTAATGACATCTTTCAAAGGGTCGTTGGTGGAGGAGATAGTAGGAGGAAGAGGATGTACGGACTCGGCTCACATGCATCTTACTATTATTCAAATGTCAATGCGGACTCATCTTCTGCTACTTCCGCATTCAATGCAGCTGACGAGGCACAGTTGAAGGAAATTCAAGAGCAAACATCCGCAAACACGACGCACATCCATAACTTAGAGGGTACTATGAGCGACCTACAAGGCCAAGTGGCATCGTTGTTGGATACCACGATTGAGTTGAGAAACAATAGTCGAGAGCAATTTACGATGATGTTACGGATGCAGCAGATGTTCATGCGGCATTTCGAGCGTGGTGGTAGTTCATCCGTCGTTCTTGAGACCGACAACGACTCAACCTGACCTCCAAACGACTCGACCCAACCTTCGACCGATCCTCAACATTAACTTATTTTAGATTTTATGTTTTCTTGTATTAACTCGCAATCGATGTACTCGTTTTTTTTTATTTAACAATAATGTAATTGTTTAGCGACGTTTTAATACATTTTGAATAATAAAAATTTACGTTTACGATATTTTACAAGATTTTTGTCACCTTAAAATTGTTACTTTGACCTCATTTTATTATTGTTTTAAATAAATTTATTTTTCAATTAGCAACGGTCTTAGAAACGGTCCGGACCGTTGCTAATCCGTCGTTATTTAGCAACGGTCCGGACCGTTTCTAATCCGTCGCTATTTAGAAATGGTCAAGACCGTTGCTAATCCGGCGCTATTTAGCAACGATCATACCAAGGGTTTACGGAACCGTCGCTAATGTCCTAATTGTTTACATCGATATTTAGTGACGAAATAGCAACGTTTTAGATCGTCGCTAATTTCGCAATGGTCTAAACCGTCGCTAAAAAACACCGATGAGGTTTTTAGCGACGGTTATTTGACCGTTGCTAAAACGTTTTAGCAACGGTTTTTTTATCTAGCGACAGCTTTGCCCGTCGCTAAATCCCATTTATCCGATAGTGATATTTCTATTCTTTAGTAGAACATCTCGCAACAAAATAAAATTTTGTCTTACAGATTGTCTTATAGGGATAAAATAGTTTTCTTTTCCTTCTTTTTACGGCTATTAGCTTAGCCCAAAGTAACGGATTTGTCTTAAAACTGTGGATTTGTGTTCTTGTTGGGGAAGGGTATTCCTTTAGTGAATTAAAGTAAAGGGCTCTGAAGAAAATTTTCTTTTAGATAGACACAGATACAATGTGACTGTGGAAACCCATGTTGTGCATGGTAATGCTATTATGAGATTTCTGGCGAATAATTAACCAAGTCTTGAAAATCAAAATGATAATTCGTGATTCGAATCACAGATTGCTTGCTGTTGAAATTTTAGCTTGTTATTACTGTCATAGACAGTTGCCTTAACTTCGTCTTTTTAACATTTCAATTTGCTGCTTCCTGATCATGATATAACTTTAGAGGCTGCATGGCCTGGGCTGTTTGTTGACCATAAAGGAAAATATTGGGATGTTCCTGAGTCAATATGCTTGGATATGTCGTCCCTTCCCTCTGAATCTGGGTTCCCATACTGTTTTGGTGTACACAAAAACAGCGGTCATCCCTAGCCTTTCAACACCCTAAATGGTGAGGCTCCTTGTGCTTTGATGCCCGGACTATGTGCAAAGGCTGCGTGTTCTTATGAAAAGAGCAAGGATTTTTGGAGGCAAAAGGAGAAAATAGATGATACCGTGGTGAAAACGGATAAGGGCAAGGTTTGGCATCCTTCATATGATGTGCGCCTTAACGAACCTCATGCAGCAATATCTGGAATTATTGGTATGTCGCTGCATTGTATGGGTAGCTCTTTTTTACCAGTTAACTCGGAGTTTTTTATTTTTTTCTTATTCGAATTTGGTTACTACGGTCTTCTGCAGCTACAGTAGCTTCTGGCAATTTTATTTTAGAATACCCACTTTTTTTTTTTTTTAATCATAGCATGTTGCAGATTATGCTTAATGCAGTGCTTTGTTTCTGTTTATGGACATATTTTTTTATTTCTTTTGGGTGACACATGAACAACAATTAGTCTTGCCACTTATTTCTTCTCCCACACTAAATCCTCTATAGTGAGAACATAAGCAGGCTATAGCTGTTATAATCAAGAAACCAAACAAGAAAGACTAATTACATAGGATTGATATTATTAATAAAACCTTAAGTAATTTGCAACTACAAGTTAAGCAAATCTATTAAGCATGTTCATGATCGAAAGTGCTATAGCCGACAACTGAAAAATATCATTATTTCTTTTTGTTAATGGTGAAACTGTACCTTCTTTCTCCTTGAATCCATCTTCACAAGTTGTCGCGGCAGTCATAACTGAACTCAATCTAATATTGGCATCATTATAGCTCTTACGCTTGTAATCTATTATGGCCTGTTTAAGTGTAGGGATTGCATCAGAATAAAGATCCAGGCAATCATTTAAGCATGCCCTAACGAAGGGGTCCCATTTTTCGTTCTTCAAGAGCTGCTTAATGTAGTGCCTTGTGCTGGTCCCGTTGTATTTGGCTAACTTGATGGAGATCAGGCCAAGTCCATGAAGATTAGCGCAGTGGCTATGGTTAGCTGCTTGAAGAGAAGTTACACAGAAGCTGTAGCTAATGTTTGGATCATTTTCTGCACATATTTTGCAAGTTTCACGGATCAGATTCTGAGCAACGATGGCATGGAAAGTACTGAAGAGAAAAGGAAGGAAGAGGAGGAGGGCATAAAAAGAGAAGTTAGGCATCTTTTTCTTGTTGTGAGGAATAGGATCTTGTAATTGTGATCGTCAGGAAGAATAATTTTCTTATCGTGGATGTAGGAGTTAAGATATATATATATATATATATATATATATAGGTATAGTTCGATAGTTTCTTAAAGGAGATCAAATGACATGTGAGAGAAGGATTGGCAGTTCGTCACTTCAGAGTGTGAATGGGCAAGTGTAAATTCTCGGATTACTTTTTGTATGTTAACATTGATTTTTTTTTTTTCAATTATATAAGTAGATCATCCATTTTCGAATGATAATCTTTTTTTAAAAAATATATTCTTGCCTTACGTCTTTATAAAAGTCTAATTGAGGAACAAAATCCTGAACATCGATCTAAAAATAATAAAGAATCAACTTTTTGTTAAGGATGGACGACGTAGTGAGGGGGAAATGATAGTGTAGTTTTTTTGAAGAATAAAGCGTGAAGATATGTCAAAGAAAAATTTTGATTAGTTTTCCATAAACATCACTGAAGATGACTGCTTGTTTGGAAGATAAAGGTTCTGCAAATGAAGGCCAAGTCTGTTAACCTATATTCACACACAAATCCCTCACACGTGTAACAGATGAGGCCCCGTGGTTTTTGCACGGTTAGCTAATTCTTAAAAACTCTGAAACATATGAACTGTTTACTCTACAATCATTATTCTTTTAGACCCAATTTTAATGTGAACTAAGACTTATTGCTACTGTTTTTATTTTCCATCCGTTGATCCTCCTTCTTCTCCTTGCATTAGATTTTATCTTTTTTAATTTTTTGCTTTGCAAATCTGGTTCGTTAAAAAAGAGATAGTGTAATCTCAGCAACTAATAGATTACTACCACATTATCATAACTTATTTCAAATCATTTTTAATTCATCAAAATAGACAATCTCTCTCTCTCTCTCTCTCTCTCACGCATCTATGATTCCAAAAAAAAAAAAAATCTGAAATATTGATTGTATAATCACTGTTCATCTAGACCCAATTCTACTATAGATCACATTGCTAATTTTTTTTTTATCTCCCAACGTCGATCCTCCTTCTTCTCCTTTTATAGCCATTAGATTTTATCTTTTTCATTCCTTTGTTTTGTAAATCTAATTGGTTAAAAGAGATGATGCAATCTCAACAATCAATAGATTATTGCCACATTATCATCTCTTATCTCTAATCATCTTTAATTCATCAAAATAGACAATCTGTCTCTTTCTTTGTCACATATATGCGATTCCAAAAAAATCTAAAGTGTTTACTGCACAATTACTGTTCATCTAGACTCAATTTTACTGTGGACCAAGACTCATTGCTACTGTTTTTATCTCTCATCTATTGATTCTCCTTATCCTACTTTTACAACCATTAGATTTTATCTTTTTTATCTTTTTCATTCCTTTGTTTTGTAAATCTAATTGGTTAAAAAGAGATAATGTAATCTCAACAATCAATAGATTATTGCCACATTATCATCTCTTATCTCTAATCGTCTTTAATTTATCAAAATAGACAATCTGTCTCTTTCTTTGTCACATATATGCAATTTCAAAAAAAATCTGAAGTGTTTACTGCACAATTATTGTTCATCTAGACTCAATTTTACTGCGGACCAAGACTCATTGCTACTGTTTTTATCTCTCATCTATTGATTCTCCTTATCCTCCTTTTACAACCATTAGATTTTATCTTTTTTATCTTTTTCATTCCTTTGTTTTGTAAATCTACTTTGTTAAAAAGAGATAATGTAATCTCAACAATCAATAGATTATTGTCACATTATCATCTCTTATCTCTAATCATTTTTAATTTATCAAAATAGACAATCTGTCTCTTTCTTTGTCATATATATACGATTTCAAAAAAATCTGAAGTGTTTACTGCACAATTACTGTTCATCTAGACTCAATTTTACTGTGGACCAAGACTCATTGCTACTGTTTTTATCTCTCATCTATTGATCCTCCTCCTTCTTTTATAGCCATTAGATTTTATCTCCTTTCTCTTGTCTATTCTTTTGTTTTGCAACCAATAGATTATTGTCGCATGATTAGATCTTATCTCTAATCTAATCATCTTTAATTCATCAAAATCGATACTCTCTCTCTCTCTCTCATATATCCAGCTCACAAGGTTCTTCAGGATCTGGATGGCAGGTTTGAATTTGTGGTCTATGATGCCAAGGCTGGACGGGTCTTTGCTGCACTGGTAAGCCACTCTCAAAACCCTAAAGAATGAATGAAATATGTTCAATCACTAGGCGGAAAATGAGAAATGATTCTGCTTATTTTTGTAATGCAGGGTACAAATGAAGGGGTTGGTTTTTTCTGGGGTATTGCAGCTGATGGGTAGGTGGTGATTTCTGACAATTTAGAGGTGATAAAAAGAAGTCCTAAATCATTTGCTCCATTCCCATCAGGGTGCATGTTCCACAACGAACAAGGCTTGATAAGCTTCGAGCATCCAAGTGGCAAAATGGAAGCTCTGCCGAGGATTCATAGTGAGGGAGCAATGCGTGGGGCTATTTTCAAGGTTTATGTTCATTCCAGGACTCGCAGCATGCTTGGTTGTTGGTAATTAAGCCAACTGGGCTTTGGGAGTTCACAAGCTAAATCTTTTTTCTTCCTTTATTTTATTTTTTTCTTTTTGTAGGCCATATTGCTCCTTTTTTAAAAAAAATTATTTCTTGATTTTGATTTTTTTTTAATTATTTCTTCTATGCTATTCTAAATCATTTATATTTCACTTTTTTTTTTCAAGAATTAAAGTGTGAAGTGCGGGTTTGTATGTTCTTGATTTTTTTTCTTTATATTTTTTTCTTTTTTATATGCTATGTTGTTGCTTTTTTTATATGACCCAATTTTTTTTTTAATTGGAATTTACCTTCATTTTTCTTTTTTCTTTAGCTCTATTGCTTTTTTTTATTCATATTATTTCTTGATTTTGATTTTCTTTATTATATCTTCAATACTGTATACTTATCGAAATTTGTTTTTAACACATTCTATTTTCCTAATATCGATTGTGTCACTTTGATCCAGGGCAAGAAGACGAAAGGTCTTCTGTTTGTTAGCAACTTCATTTTGGCAGTCATAGTTGTCATACCCCAATTTTTGCCCATTCTAAACTTTTAATTGGTATTTTTAGTTTCTTTTGTTTTTCTTTTATTACTATTTTTATTCTTTAGTACAAAAAAAAAAAAAAAAGGAAATTGAATAATCAACAAAAAATAAAAAATTATTTGCTTGGATCTTATTACAAAATTACAAAAAATTAAAAAAAAATAGTCCAATAATGCTTACAGCCCCAAACCATCCACTGGACAAAATCCCCACACCATACAACTACTATAGCATACAACTGCCTCACCATCATGGTGGGCAACCAACCAACCAATCAACATATATAAACAGTTGCAGGAAAAAAAAAAAAAGGATGGGAGTTCGAAAATTGAAGGGGAATTCAATTAGAAAATTGGAGGAATTCAGTTTAAAAAAATGAAAGAAAAAATCAAAGAGAAACATAGAAGCAATCACAGATAAAATTGGGGCTAGCTTCTGGAATCAAGAGAAAATTAAGTTAGAAAAAAAAAAAAAGAAGAGTGAGAGGAAGAGAATTTTACCCAATTTTCGGGGCCCACTAAAGCCTTTTCTTCATCCTCAATTCGAATTCTTCTTCAGCTAAGCCATTCTTTATTTGCTTCAATGTAATTTATATCTGTGAATGTTGATGGCAGTCATCACTGCCATCCCCAAAATTGACCCCGTCTAATCACACATACACATGTGTTTGCTTTTCATTCAAGTAGAAGTTTGAATTCAATTCAAATCTATACCAATTTGAGTTTGAATTTCGGAAATTGGAATTTTTTGGGAATTTAGGGTTCTTGACAGTTTGAGTTTCCAATTTGGGGGTTTTGTTGTTTGGTTTGAAATTGAGGCTCGGGAATTGAAAGGAAGGCTAATTTAGGTAAGGTAGGGTTTCAATTTAGGGTTTAAGCCTCAATTGGAGACTGATTTAAGATAGATCAAAACCTAAGGTTCCTGAGTTTTCCAAACCCAAAAACAATTTGGGGGTTTTCAAGAAATTGGGTTCTAGAAGACTTGAGATCCCTCAATTTTAAGAGAAGTTAAGATGATTGAGGCTTATTGAGAGAAGGATGATGAAAATTGGAGATGAAAGCTTCAGTTGTCGGGAGAAAGGAGAGACAAAGAGGAGGAGAACGATGGAGATTCGGGTGAGGGAAGAGAAGGAGATAAAAAGGAAAGGAAAAAAATAGAGAGACGAACTGGTTCGTCCATGGAGATAAGGCAGAGATAAGGGAAGGAAGAAGGAGGAGAAGAAAGAAGAAAGGAGAGAGAGATAGAGAGAGAGAGAGAACGGGCGAGAGAAAAAGAAAAAGAAAATGAAAAAATAGAGTTTGATCCGAAATTTAGAAAGAAAAGAAATGGGAGGTGTTTGTGGGCTTGGGTCCAGCTGACAAGGAGGCAAATGGGTTGGGCTTGTGTGGCTGGGCTGGACTGAAACCAGTCCAGTCGGTCCCAAAAAAAAAAAAAAAAAAAAACAAGAAAGAAAGAAAATTGGGCTGGATTTATTTTATGTGTGTTTTTTTTTTTTAATCTAACGTTTAATTTCAATTTCAATGTTTGAATTTTCTTTATTTTATTTAATCAGTCCACCCCCGAAAAGAATCTTAGTTTTATTTCATTTAATCATGAATTTATTCTATGTATGGTTTTTTTATTTAATGTTTACTCTCTATTTCAATGTTTGAATTTTCTTTATTTTATTTAATTAATGTAAATGTTTGAATTTTCTTTATTTTATTTAATCACTCCAGCCTCGAAAAAAATTTTAGTTTTATTTCATTTAATCTTGAATTTATTTTATGTATTTTATTTATTTATTTAATATTTACTTTTTATTTCAATGTTTAAATTTTCTTTATTCTATTTGATTAATGTAATTGTGGATTTTTATTTCAGTAATTAGATTTAGGTGATTAATATCTGGATAATTATCAAGTCTCTTATTTTTTAGAAAATGATGATGATTTTTCTATCGACAAAAAAAAATGATAATTAAAATTTCTAACAAAGTATCCTATTTAATAGGGATAGTCGTTAACCAAAAAAAATAAAAAAAAATCACAAAAACTTTAACAAAGTCTCCTATTTGATAGGGGCTATTGCTAGTTTAAAAATATCATAAACTTTCAAACAATCGGGATGTTCTCCAACACACCGGTTGTGACGAAACTCAAAAAGTAGATCCGATGTTTGAATCGACGTGTCACCCGACGAAGAGGTTCGACGATCTGTTTTAATATGATATCACGCCCAAAAATAAAAATTTTAATTTGACTTAGAAAACTGAAGTTTGAATAGTAAATAACTTGGCACAAATAATATACTTTATGGGATGAATTTAGGATTAAACTAAATTTAATATCTTTCTTAAGAAAAAAACATTTTTAGGTGATCAATATATTTTCAAACCGTAATCAACTCCTTATATTAGAATCTCTAAACCAGTACCTATTTTAGGTTTTTAATTCCTTCAATATCGGATGCCGACTCCAAACTTATAAATAACTCGTAAATAAAAATCTTAAATTTTTTAAAAGTCGTCCGATGTCGGATAGTAACAATAGTCTCGTTAGAGTGGAAGAGCTAGCTAAGTATTGTGCCATTTGTTAGTGGATAATTGGGATTCTTGATGGATTTACCAGAGTAGATTTGAATTGTGAAATGCAAGAAGGTCATGATGATAAAGAAAAGTGTCATTGCTGTTACTATGAAGATGGTGAAGAGAATGTCCATTTGTAGCTGTGAAAGGTCATGGAGATCAAGCTATTTATGAAGATGTTAAATATATAATCGGTGTGCATCACTGAGAGTCAAGAAAACAAATATTTATGGTCTCCTCTGCTAAATTACAAAATACTAAATTACTCAGCAAGATTCAATATGGTTGCTAAATTACAAATACAAAATTAGAGTTTGATTACACTAATGATGATGATCAGATAAATTTGAGCCACTTGATGCTAATGATTTGTAGTTTAGAAAATGGAGATAAAGGCAATCATGGGACTTTCCTCTTAATCTAATAGGATAAGATGGCTTTATCTTAAAGTTAATGACATTTTTTTTAAAACTATTGCAGCAACTATATTATAACATATACCTTTGACATGGCAAGGCAAAAATATTTTTGTTCATGAATTAATTAACACCTTCTACGTTAAGGGATTGGTGACTCATGTTCATGAATTAATCAACACCTTTTGCGTTAAGGAATTGATGACTTATCATTCGTAATCGGTAACAATTCATGTGATTAATTAATTTCTTTTACACTCAGAGCTGATCGAAATTTATCATGATATGATATTCATAATATACAATATTAACAGAAACAAATAAGACAAATGATTAGTCAGCCAATGAAAGAATGTGTTTGACTTTTTTTGAATAATGGAAACTCTTATCCGCAGTAACGAAGCGCAGGACACAAAAACTAGTTCCTTTCTAAATGATACAGCTAGCTTATTAGTTTTTACATTATTGTTAGGTATTTAGAAAATCATGTTGATTTCAAATGACTAATTTTAATCTTCCAATCATTTAATTGTTTGCCAATAATTGTGAATGAGTTTGGAACGAGTCAATGTTTGTCCAGTGACTTTTGGTTTGTTTAGACTCGTTTTTCAATTTCAATTCTCAACATGCTACCAGATACAAATAATTTCATGTTTCGCTCAGAGGATTAGTCCGACCAAACACACATCATGCCTTAATTACCAATAAAACAGGAAAAAAATAATAATAATTGAAGCCTCCACTAGCCGCGATTGTTGATAAGTGAATAGATAGTTTGTTTGAAACTGCAAAGAAAAGAAGGAAAAACGTGGGGCATATAGTTGGGCGTTGCTTTAGGTTTTGGACCATATGGGCCTCGTCAAAATTGGTGTCACCTTTGCTTCGAATTTTTTTTTTCTAATCTGATTATACTTGAGTATTTTGGGCATAATTTCATGTACAAAAGTCCAATTCGTGCAATTTATAGCTTGCTGTAAATTTAAGCTAAAAGATAAGACTATAACTTATACATTTTAAGCTTGACAAATATCGACTAGCATTATAAAAAAATTTAAGCATAGGAGGTAAAGTTGTTGATAATTCTTGTGCCCTTTTACATTTAGAGATCATGAAGGAAATAATTATTGCAAGTGATAGACTTTCAAATCAAAATAGAAAAACTTATGGTATTTTACTCTTTACATTTTTGCTCTTTATACATTAATCAATAATTAAAAATATACGATGATATTAATAGATTTTCTTTTCTTTCTTTTTTAAGAAAAAAATATTTATTATTTATTTCTTTCAGTTTTATCGTACTTCCTACTTATTTCAAGAAAAAAAACTTTATTAAGATTATTTGATTTTTTTAAAAAAATTATGTGGTATTTTGAATTTTTTTAAAAATTAATAGATGAAATATTGTCTTAATATATTTTATTATACATGTAGCGATTGAAATATATTTTATATTTAAGGAATATATTCAAGCACAAATTTTCAACAAAAATTAAGTAATAAATTCGATAGAGCTTTAAATCCGTCAAGATCCAGATTTGTATTTTCAAAACTCAATTCAAATTAATAAAATTTTATCCAATCTGATCCGTTTTATTAACCAAATCGGATCCGAATATATTATGATGTAATTCGAGTTTGAACTGTTGATACGACTCTAAGCCGGAGACTTCAAATTTGTTTGGGTTGACACAAAAGTAAATGAGACTAGAAACTTATTTAGATTTAACTAGTTTTTTTGCTCGCGCGATGCTTGTGGATTAGATAAAATATATAAAATTATTTTTAAAAAAAATATTTCAGTTTGATAATCTATTTTATGGTATGAATCTGTAAAAATATATGAAATTAGAGTTCAAAAAACAATTATCTATAATTTTTTAATAAAACAATTTTGTATTTAACTATTTTTTATTTGTGTTTTTCATAATTTTTCCTTAAAAAAATGATTTATCCTTGTTAATCCATGGATTTTTAACCAAAAAGAAAATTAAATAAAATATTTTTGAAAAGCTTTAGTATTTCATAAGATTGTGTTGAAAAATAAAAATAAAAATTATTAAAAGCTTACGTAGAATCGAACAAATAATTTTTTGATTTTATTTAATGTTGATGAGAATATCGATGTTTGAAAAAATATAAATTTAATTTTTATATATTCATTTAAAAAAGAATGAATAATATTAAAATAAAAAACTATATTAATTTGAATCATCGAGTGGTTAAGCCAAAACATGATTTTAATTATTTAATTTAAAATAAGTTAATTTTAAAATATTCAAAAATAAATAAATAGATAGTAAATGCTTAGTGTGGTAGTTGCATAGTTAATTTCTAAAACAATATCGATTCAATATTTGTTTACATATCATAACTATACTAAGTGAGTTTGGAGTTTTCAATCTAAAACAAAAAATACTATAAAAAAGTTAATTTGTAAGGAATCTATTTACTAAATTTGAAGTTAATAGACTAAAATAAAAATTATTATAAATTTGATTTCTTTTAATTTTGATTATATAAAGTAAAAACAAATTAATAAAATATGTGAATTCGTTTTCTTTTTTCCCCCTCCTTCTTAGATAAATTTTTATTTCTATGCTATGCATGACTAATCCTTGAATATAGGCCTTGAATACGAGCCTCATGGCAGAAGCAACCATCTTCTTTTTATTTTTTACATTTGACTTTCATCTCGTTAATTAACTAATTTGAGTTTTTTTCCTAAAAAATTGAGAAAACATTATTTGAAATACACTATTAGTCTAAAAATGTGTTTTAGAAAAATTATATATAGCATGCCACTATAATTTAATAAAAATAATTAACAAAAAACACTAAAACAAAATAGGAGAAATCACAATACATTTAAAGTTTGAAATTGGAAAAAATTGTATAGAAAAATTTAGGACCGTATAATTTTAAATTAATTGGATGAGAATTTAAAAAAATTGACAAATTAAAGTAGTAAATTTTAAATAATAAAAATAATTAACAAAAAATACTAAAATAAAATGGGATCAAATCACAATATAATAAAAGTTTGAACTAATTTTTTTTTAAAAAAAATGACCAAGTAGTAAATCTTAAATAATAAAAATAATTAATAAAAAACATTAAAACAAAATGGGATCAAATCACAATATAATTAGAGTTTGAAATTAAAAATAAAAAAATAAAAAAATTGAGGATCAAAGTGTTACCAAAACGTTATCGATTGTAAAAAGAATAATGATTTTTAAGTATATAAATAGTGATTTATAAGTGTATGAATAATATTATAAATATTAAAAAATTATTTTACTTTAGTATTTTTTATAATAGATTCAATCCGAAACGCATGACCTTAAGATCTCTAGATTTTGGATGATAATATAATGTAAATAGTGGCCCGTACCTTTTCTTTTCCCTTTCTTATAAGTATGTTCCGATTTTATTGGCTTAATTTTCGTTTTTTTTTTCTTTTCCTTTCCAGCCCACAAGCATGGGTTACTTTTGGTACATTAAAAACCATCATATAAGAGCAAAATCAATTCAACGCAGTACGAGAACCAACACCAACACCAACACCAGCACCCTAAACCTCTTTTATTTCTATTTTCTCTCTCCTCCCTCCGACGTAGACTCAGTGACTCACCCAACTCGCCTTGATCAGGTGACGTTTTCGGCACTGGTGGAGTTTTTTATTAGATGAATTATAGGGGCGTGTATCTGCCAAATTGGGCGAAATGGCCATCAATTGTCTTCGAATTTTGTTAGGGTTGACCCATGGTCCTAGACTAGATTTAAGATTTAATAGGCTTGATCCAAAAAGTGGCCCATCTCTCCATTTTTTGGACACCATGTTAAGAATGGCCCAATACCTTCAGCCCAACATGTGTCCCTCTCTGGTCTCTATGATTACAAAACAAAAGCAATCAGAAAAACGCCTCCTCCTTGGTACTACTCTAAAAGAAATTTTATAATATTCAAATAAATATATACAAAAATTATATTATAAAATTATTTTAAAAAATAGATATAAAAAAAAATTAAAAAACATGTGAAAATCTTTTTACATTCAGATATATTAAAAATAATAAGAAGGTTTTTTTTGTTAGCGTAATATTATTTTTTAATTTTTTCTCTTTTATTTTATTATTATTATTATTATTTTTGTGTCTTTTTCTTTTCTTACAATGACTTCATAATATAACTAGTGTATAAATCACTATTTACTCTTTGATTAATATAAATTTCTCCTGTACTAGGAAAATCTATAACAAACCCCAAACAAAACCCTCCCTGTCTCCTCAACCCTTTCCTCGTTGTAAAACCAACTACTACAATGCAACAACATAGATAAGGAAGTTCAAAAAAAAAAGGAAAAAGGAAAACCCATCACCGATTCACCAACAATGGCTAACTTGAGGACGGCAATGGACTCAGCATTCTGGGACCAACCCATTTCTTCCTCACAAACCCTAGAGGGTTGTGCCTACTCCGTTCCTGGAGACCCATTTCCTCTTGAAGCCGCTAGAGCCAGTAAAGCACTTAGAATTCAACAACTCTCTCTTTTAAGAAATGGGTTCCCTTTGGGTATCATTCCCTCTTACTCGCCTACTTCAAACAAGGACCTTGGCTCTTTCTCTCTCCAGTCTCTCTTCCTCAAACTCACCACCTCTAACAGGTGAAATGATAGCAAAAAGTTCCCTTCTTTTTGGCTTACTTCATTGCTATTAATCGGTGTTCTTTTTTTTTTTTTTTTTTGTTTTTGCGTGCAGTTGGCTTGGATTAATTGGGCAATTTAGACCAAAGAAGCTGATTTCTTCTATTAAAGGAGAATTTACTAATGCTGATGAATTTGAATGGCCTGCGTTTAAAGATGGAGCTAAGCATGTGATCGACAAGTCACTTTATTCTCTTGGTTTATTCTCACAAGTTTCCTTGTCTTCTTCATCTTCTGTGTTGCTAAGCACAGAAAGGCATGGTGAGAAGAAGAGACCACGCTACAAGATGATGCTCTGGCATGAGGTATTTCGTTTATTATTTCATTCAGTCTTCATATTTCTATTCTTTAGTAGAATATCTCGCAACAAAATAAAATTTGGAAGTCTCATATTTATACATAGATATCTGGATATTTTGTCTTACAGATTGTTTTATAGGGAAAAAATAGTTTTCTTTTCCTTCTTTTTACTGCTATTCGCTTGGCCCAAAGTAACGGATGTGTCTGAAAACTGTCGATTTGTGTTCTTGTTGTGGAAGGGTATTCCATTAGTGAATTAAAGTACAGGGCTCTGCAGAAAATTTTCTTTTAGATAGACACAGTTACAATGTGACTGTGGAAACCCATGTTGTGAATGGTAGTGCTATTATGAGATTTATGGCGAATAATTAACCAAGTCTTGAAAATCAAAATGATAATAAGTGATTCCAATCACAGATTGCTTGCTGTTGAAATTTTAGCTTGTTATTACTGTCATAGACAGTTGCCTTAACTTCTTTTTAACATTTCATTTTGCAGCTTCCTGATCATGATATAACTTTAGAGGCTGCATGGCCTGGGCTGTTTGTTGACCATAAAGGAAAATATTGGGATGTTCCTGAGTCAATAACCTTGGATATGTCGTCCCTTCCCTCTGAATCTGGGTTCCGATACCGTTTCGGTGTACACAAAAACAGTGGTCATCCTCAGCCTTTCAACACCCTAAATGGTGAGGCTCCTTGTGCTTTGATGCCCGGACTATGTGCGAAGGCTGCATTTTCTTACGAAAAGAACAAGGATTTTTGGAGGCAAAAGGAGAAAATGGATGATACCGTGGTGAAAACGGATAAGGGCAAGGTTTGGCGCCCTTCATATGACGTGCGCCTTAGCGAACCTCATGCAGCAATATCTGGAATTATTGGTATGTCGCTGCATTGTATGGGTAGCTCTTTTTTACTAGTTAACTCGGAGTTTTTGTTTTCTTCTTATTCAAATTTGGTTACTACGGTCTTCTGCAGCTACAGTAGCTTCTGGCAATTTTATTTTAGAATACCCACTTTTTCTTTTTTTTTTTTTTTAATCATAGCATGTTGCAGATTATGCTTAATGCAGTGCTTCGTTTCTGTTTATGGACACATTTTTTTGTTTCTTTTGGGTGACACATGCACAACAAGTAGTCTTGCCACTCATTTCTTCTCCCACTCTAAATCCTCTATAGTGAGAACATAAGCAGATGAAGGCGTTTGCTTTTCATGGAGGCCAGGAGGGACAATGTTAGTGGACAAAACGTTGTATCTGACACTTAATTGGGATATGACTGATTTGTTTGCCTACGGTAGCAAATTAGAGCTGGTCATGATTAACATGACTCATACAAAACCTATTAGTTTTTGGTCATTCTCCTTTTTGAAAGAAAATTCCTCTTTGCAATTTGTTGCTGACTAATATTAATATTAATAATAGGTGGCACGTGTGCGGCCTGGTTTTGGGGCAATGAAAGCTCACTGTCTACAGAATTGCATGTTGATAGGGACGCTTCAATTAGCACCAAGAAGAGAAGTCCATTAAATGCTGATTTGTTTGGCTCTATTTGCTATACTTTCCAGCATGGGAAGTTCACTAAGCTGTATGGTGATCTAACCAGGGTGGATACTCGTCTGGATATCTGTTCAGCTTCTGCTGTTGCTAAAAGGGTTTTCAATGTTTTCAGAAGTTCTTCCTTTACTAATGCAGACAATCCACTGTCTTCTCCCAAGCTTAGTCTGATCCTCCAACAGCAGGTACTTTTTTTTTATTTCTTTTTTTCTTTCTTCACCTTTGGCTGCTGTCAAGTAATAAGAAGCCAAATCCTACATGTGGATTCAATGATCTGTGGTTTGACTAAGTTAATGATTTTTAAGATTGGGTGATTCGAACTTTTAATCACCAAATAGACATTCCTTTTGCTATGAGAAGTTTTTAAAATTAAACCGAGGCTCCAGTAGAGGTGCATAATGACAGTATTTATTGCATGCAATTATGCAAATGGGTTTTCAACTTTTGGGAAGGGATCAAACTTCCTGGAATTTTTCCTAGCAAAAAGGCCTTCCCTTTGCACAGTTCTTAATGCGTCAAAATGTTTGTTGTAGGTTGCAGGTCCAATTATGGTTCGGCTTGATTCAAAGTTCTCACTTGGTTCTTCATCTGGAAAACAAGGCCCACATGTCGAGGATCTCATATGCAGCTTGAGTTACTCATTAAGGCTTTTACGCTCTGGGAAGGTTGTCGCTTGGTATTCTCCAACAAGAAAAGAGGGGATGATTGAGTTGCGCATGTTTGAGTTCTAATTCATTCTTTTGCTTTTTCTCTTGTCATGTGACTGATTTGTTTCGAATACACCAGGTTTTTTTTTTTTTTCTGGAAAATTTTATTGCAGAATGCACAAAAGGTCACTATCTTCTTTCACCTTTATTTTTTCATCACGATATAGAATGTTGGGAGAAGGGGGTCAACTATAAAGGGTTTCAACTTAAAAGAGATTGTGAGCCATCACATTTTTTGTGAATATTTAAACTTCGCAGGAATCAATGTTTGAGTTTTGTGCTGTCAGCCAAACTCTTATTTCAAGATGTTGAGATCTCAAATTCAAATTCTATCAGAGTTCAAAGAGAAATTGATCCATGATATAACGATGACCCAGCTTAAGTTTGTCATGCCATATGGTTTATACCAAATGCATTTAAAACGGTATAGTTTCATATCCAGTGGTGATGTTACTAGTCAACAAGTGATAACATCAATCCACTCAATAGTGCTGCATTAGTGAAACGTTGGTATAAGTGGAGTAGCATGATCATCGCATATCTGTTCACTGGTAACTGATGTTGCCATGTTGGCGAGCGAGCAATATTGTCACGCACGCAGGAAATGCAGTAAACAATATTCAGGTGGTGCTTAGGCAAATACTTGGGCGGCTAGAGGGTAGCAGATGTAAGTAAGTAATTCCTCGGCAGGTGAAGAGCCACCAGCTACTGAAATGTATTTTAAGTAATTCCGGGGCAGGTGAAAAGCCACCAGCTACTGAAATGTGTTTCGTTTTTTACCCCAGCTGATATATAAATTAAAGCCGTCACAACTGCTCCCAGCCTATCAAACTGAGCTCCATAAACCACTGATTTGCTCTGACAAGGATTCGTCACTAGATCATTTGACACGCTGTCAATTTCTAGGCACTTCAGTTCGGCATAATGATCTACCTTTGATTGTCAAACTTTTCCGAGAGTAAGCCATATGATCTTCCCCAGTAGAACATGGACATTAAGAACAACAATAACCGTGATAGATAAAGAACTGTCTATCAGCAAAAATCATGATCATCAACATCAGCTGTTGCCGCAAAATATTATTTGCTACTCCGGAGCAAAAACTTCCATTTTTCACACATCAAAGGAGGGAGGTTTGACAGCACAGAACAAAGAATGCAACAAAAACCAATCCCCTAAATCTAGAGTTTACTTCAATACAGACAGTCTGAAAAGATGGCCATATAACTTGACTGGACTCATTATAGGGAGTTGGTGTTTTCAAAGTTCGCAGAAATGCTGAGATCTCACTCCACGATGGCCAACAAATCACCAGCTTTGCAAAAGCAATGCTTAGCATCTGTTCCAAACTCAATCTGCACAGTTTCAGGAAGTCTTGTAAGAACACATCCAGGTACAATAAACACTCACAATTTGCAATGCAATGGGCATAATGACCATCATTTCAATGGTCAGACATGCCAATTACAGCAGAATCAATGTTCCACCTACAGAGGTCAAAATCTACATGTACATGCATAGGTTATTAACTTTGGGAGGAGATGGTCATACCCTAAGGTAAGAACAAAAAGATATCAGCCAACTCCAAATAATCACATAGGATAAAGAGATGTGCCTGACTGGATTCTACGAACATAGAATTTCTATCTAGAGAGATGAAAGAATTTGTATAACCTGATTACATGGAAGAACATTTCTTCAATTCAAGAATATTTGTCATGTTCCCTAGTCTAGATGATGACATACTATGAACATCATATTCACTCAACAACAACAGAAATCTGTGAGAGATCAACTCCAAGACTTGTTGGTGTTGTAAAGGTTGCAAGAAAGCAAGCAGTTTCATTCACCAAGCCACCATAATTGGGTGATAAAATTCAAGAGGCCGGGACAAAAGGTCTCATAGCTAGCATATGCTCAGATGGGGCCTATGTGTGTGTATGTGTGGTTTGATATATTATTTTATAGTTGACTCTTTCGACATAATGGTCTGACATATTCAACATGCTTTCTTCCAGACAATCAAAGGGGATTTGATCCCCGTACAAAAAAGTAAGAACTACAGAAGCAAACTCAATGAATTCACAGGTGAAATGCAAGTTTCTCCAATGGTAACGCTATTTACCTCATATGCATTGATGTCTGAGAAAAGAACCTGCAAAATAAGGTATACTTCACGTAAATCGCAATGACTACAACTATATAGTTATAGGAATGAAAAATCTCAGTTAATAGCAGAATTAACAGCATTGAAAATAGCTTGATGGGGTCGATCATTTATGAACCGAGTGGTATTTGTTTACCTTCTTTCCAGCCTCCACTTCCCCAACCTCAGCACCAACCTCAGCACCAACAGATAAAACCTAAAACAGAAAACTCAAAGCGTAAACAATCATGCCAACAGCAACTAGCAAAATCAATCCATCCTTCCTCATAAAAGCAAGAATAGGCGTTATACATAATTCATACCTCCCCCATTAGGTACCGCTCAAATTTAACAGCAGATTTTGGCAACAAAACACCACCTGACGATTTCTACGATGTAATATTCACCTTTCAGCATAACAACTTTAAAAAAGGGGATACTTATAACATCGGGAAATGATTTATATGGGCATCAAGATATGAAACATGAATTGAAGCAAAGAGGAAACCCCATTACCTCAGGCAGGTCCTCGAGACGGATAAGAACTCTATCAGCTTGTGGAACAACCTGCAGCAATACCCACCATATTAAAACTAAATCCAAAGCTTGAAAAAGATAGGATTAAAAAAAAAAGAAATACCTTAGTCGGTTCCCATTTCGTGGCAATTGCATTGATTCTTAAAGAATTCCTCTTGAATCCTGGTAAATAAATAACAAGAAACAAATTTAGCGAAAAAGAAATATTGTGCACGTTAATTTTTTCACTAGGGAAGTAAAGAGATAGAAAATAACAGACCTGCGTGTTTGAGTTGACAGAGAGAAGGAGCGTTGGTTTTGTTTACCGACAGGAAGGATATTGTTGTTGGTACAGTAACATATGTAGACGCCATGGGTGGATAGATAAGGTTTTGCCTTTGCAACCGAAGGGAGAGACCGAGAGCTTAGACGAGGCACAGTTTGGCACAGCACTGCCTAAAACCCTCTTCCTACCTCTGCCCTGACACGTGTCCGCAATATTTTAAAGGGGAAACCTCGATTTACCTCCTAACCACTTTACATGAGTCTTTTTGTTTTTGTCCTTTTTGCCTACAAATGGAATGGACATTAAGCAATGTCATTTACATATCCGTCCATTATTAATAATATTTAAAACTTTTTTTTAATCTAAATCGGACATATTTATTAAGTATTTTTATTCAAAGAATCGAAATAAACTCCAATCTATTTTAAAAGATAATTTTAACATAAAAAATGGTTTTTTTTTTTAATACATGCTAGTAGAAAGGAGAGATAAGAAAAAAATGGTGTTCTTTGTTGGCGTGAGAAAAATAAAAATAGTCAGGTTGTTGCACAAATAAAAGAACTTCTTACAGATATATATTTCACGCAGGTCTAAAATGTTGGCAAATAATAAGACGGGAAATCGTATTTCATCCTTATTTTTATGAATGATTGATTGGTATTTTTAACAAGAAGGATGATGTAATAATTTTTCAAAATTTTGATGTTCGGTTATTTTATTATAACCATAAAGCGTGAATAAATCATAAATTTGCCTGTGCATGCATTTGTATGGTTGATGGATTATATTATCGTTATATATAGAAAACAAGGAGGAAGACTAAAAATTCTCTTTTCCATCTAACCATTCCAAGAGCAAGGTCTCAACTCAACTCTCTAGCGTCTTTCTACGAGGAAGGATATTATTCATCATATGGGGAATGAGGTAGGATTTGGGTATCGCTCCTCTCTAATTGAAGAGAAAAATACAGTATGATGCGGTGAACAAGCTTTGAAGTGGCCAAGAAAATAGCCATCAAATGGACCCAGCGTACCCACATTTTCAGATTTAATTAAGAAAATAATGGACGCATCTTCAGATTTTTTTTTCCTTGCTACATTAGAGAAGAGCAACAAAGACTAGCAGCGACGGAAAACAATATCAGCTGAGAGGAAGGAGGAGGGTCATTCTAGACTTGGTAACCAATATGACTTGAACCCAAACGAGCAAGAAAGTTTTTACAATTGATTGCGTTCGATTTACAAATGAACAATCTCACACCTACTGACTTGTTGCATCAGAGCTTGAATAGAATCAGATATCAGAGCAAAATGGGGATTAGACTCGGTGGTCGATAGAACTGCTAACTAAAAATCTAATGGCTTCCATGGAGTCAGTTTTTGTGATAAGACAAGAGAATTGGATGCTCTTAGCGAACATCAGACCATGCTTATACTCTCTGTTTAGATGAAAGAAGAGTTAGGAAGGGTAGGGTTAGTAAGGAAGGGAATGGTGGTATTCAACCTTTTTTCTTGTTTGGATATGTAAGGGAATATTCAAAGAGTAATTTGGACTTTTAAAAAATATTCAAAGAGTAGCTGGACAGTGTACGCGTTTATCCCCCAACTCATCCAATTCGCAGTCAATCCTCAAACAAAACAAATTCTCATTTGTTAGAAGTATAAGTAAATAAAAGAAATAATAGATCATTCCATAAGAAAAGGATAGACATTTGATATGAAAAATTAAAATAATTTTTTTAAAAAAATTACATTTTTAATGTCTAATCATTGATTTTTTATTTTTTGTTTAGATGCCTAATTTTTTATTTTTTTTATTTACGTGTCCGTAGTCACCTTAGAACATAAGACGCTGACGTGTTTATAGCTGATTGCCATGTGACATTTTTTTATTGTAACCTAACAGCTCTTATTGCATACATCAACAAAATTGAATCTCAAGTAAAATCAAACATTAAAAAAAAATAATCAAAACTTTGATAACAAATCATTAGAAATTAACAATTAGAAAAAAAAAATTCAATGACTGGACATTAAAAAGGCTTCTCTCTCGTAAAATTTTTTAATCATATAGTTATAGTTTTTGGATTGCATCTTAAGAAACATTTATCATATAGCTATAGCTTTTGGATTGCATCTTAGAAACACTTATCTTGTGTGCGAGAAGCCACGTTCACACACACACGCACACCCCTTGCCATGTTATAGAGATTGCACGATCCGAGAAGGTACCCCGAAAAGACAGGAACAAGAACCTAATATCAGAAACCAAAGAACCTTTGCAGGAAGCCAGGAACAGTTCCTCAGATAAGGGTTCATTTAGCAATCATGGACATAAGCTGATCCAACCATGAATCACTCACGCTATAATATGAGTCCTGAATATGTATGTAATTAGTAATATCTCTAACAATCTATTTTCAGGTATCATGTATCATCTATGGTTATCAATTTGGTACAGATGGATATTAAAGTAACAGAAAAGTGGGACTAGATTCCAAGTTTGAATTCGCCTTCCTAAGCTATCTAACAAAAAAAAGGCAGGATACAGCTACGTATCAAACATTCTGCATCTGGACATTTCCATGGCTTCTCCTGAGTACTTCAAAGTCATTATATGCCCTGGAAAACGAACATCATTAATCATCACTCACGAGCTGCTATTAGTCATCGTGTAACAGTTTAAACTCTCCTCCCCACCCCAACTAGAAGAAAAGAAGAAACAACAAGCAAACAAAAGCATTTATGCAGTCACATGAGGCCATAATAGAAACAAACAAACAAAAGCATTTTTGCAGTCACATGAGGCCATAATAGATACAGTGTCGTAGGCAATGTGAATGTTGATGTGCTTGTGACGTATTATGGAAGCATGCATCTACCAAGTTTAATGCATATGTTAAGCAACTAATCATCAGGAAAACTATGTTAAGGTTTTTTACGGAAACTTTTAATCATAGATGTGATGGAATATCTTGTACATGTATAAAAGTAAATAGCAACGATCTTTCCCCTGACAAGTATCAATAGCACAATCATTACTCTGCTTTTGCATTAAAAGGGATGAATTGTGAATGCAACAATGGAAAATGATTACATCTGATTTAGATTCTGTGAGCATGCCCCTTGATGAGACTGAAACCCCTTTGTTTCTATACTTCCTGTTTGCATCTATTTTCCGCATAATCCTGAAAGTCAACAACAAATTCAACGATTGGCAACTCTAAAGTCAATAACAACATGAAACTTATCAAAACTAGTTAGAAGGCCCAGCAAGCTGAAGACGAAGAAAGTAGGACAACGAGGAAAAAAGCACACCATCAATGAACTTTTGCAGTAAAAAATAAAATGAATCAAACACAGACAACCACATCCTTTTCATAAGAAATTACTTTCTTATGGAAGAAAAAGAAAAGGGTACATCCAGTAAACTCGAATTCAAAGATTTTTTTTTTCCCATTCCTCAAACTAAAACAAGAACATCCATGAATACTTGGCGGGAAAATCAAACTATCAGACAAGCAACAAATTATTCATGATTATTAGCCTTCGCTAATTATACCAATCAAAATCAATGCATCACAAATATTCAACAATTCAATAGCAACGAAGGTTCAATTAACAAAAAGGAGCATGTAGCTCTCTAAGTTCAATGATCACATGTTGCAAGTCATAATAGAGAATGCAAGTGGACTGATGATGTCAGTCAAAAGATTGGTTCAAAATGAAGACATAATGCGAATATTGACATAGACACTCACAAATGCAAATAACCAACTTAACACAAACGTCACCATATTATTAATAATAGTGAAATTAATACTAATTACATGACATGTACTATCAGAGATAGTTTAAGAAACCTTTCAATACTCCTGGTCTCGAATTCATCGTAGCGGTCAATCACCCTGCAAAAAGTTAAGCTTTTAATTAAGCACTACTAAAATCTATAAAACACCAGCAAATACTACTAGATCTAATTAACAACATGCTGAAAGAAAATTGGTTAAAAACAAGAAGAGAAACTTAACAAACCAGTCAAAGGCCATTTTAGTGCCGCATACTACACCAGCAGCTACTCCTACAGTTCCAACGGCAACACCCGCTGGTAAACAAGAAGATCACCCGCAAATGTTAGCAAAAGGGGGAAAAAAAGTTAAAAGCAAGCAAAAAGTGGGGATTGAGAACATACCACCATAGGCAATCTTCTCGGATGCGCGATCCATTGACTGCATCTGCTCCCTGTTTTTATTTTTATCATCGTCAATCAAAATCATCATCATCATTTGTGAGAAAGTTAACAAAGGAAAACAAAACCAAAAGCCCAATAATGTTTCAAATCGTGAAATTACCAGAGTTGTTTAAATCCTTCCATTTTTGCTTGCCTAAACCCCAACAATTCTCTGCAAAACCACACAAACTAGCCAGGCAACCAATTGCTGTTTTCTTTATTTAAATATTTTTAAGTCCCATTTCACTACGGTTTCTCGAATTTGTTTTGTTTTTTGTTTTGAAAGCCGATTATTTTTCCGAGAAAGCCCAAGTTCGACAGCCCAAAGAAAATCTACACCTTTGCACTGTCGAAATTGTTTGAAGAAATCGAGGGTTATGGGCCTTGAAAACCCGGATATCTCTCGATGGCCCTGATCAAGGACAAGGAGTCCGCGTGAAAAGTAGGTCCCTCTGAAGGAGGTGCCTCAATATCTGTGCTCCATTCCCTCTAGTAGGAACAGAAAGAAAAAATGGAAAAACAAAGAGTCCAAAAAGCAGAACAACGGTCGCTACTTTGGGACCACCATTCCCATTATCTGTCCTGAACATCTGCAAAACTTTTATTCCCTTTATAACAATAAACAAACACTTTTCTTTCCCGGAAAATAAAAACCATTTCCCTTTCCTTTACAATGTTGGGAAAGAAGTGAGACCCTTTTGTAGAAGAAATAGGGTTTCTTTCCTGTTTCCCTTCTCATTCTCTCTACCAATGATGATGGCGGCGAAGAAGCATTATTGTTGCTGTGAATGGAAGTGGATTGTACTTTGCCAGCTACTCCTAGCTGTTGTTGTTTGCTCCAGCCACCATGGTAATATTCGCTTGTTTTTCTTTAAGTTTCTGGGTTTCTCTGAGAACTTGATACTATTGCTGCCCCATGATTTTTTTCCCTAATATGTTCATCAATTAGTATTGTGCCGATAATTTGCAATGGAAGGCCTTGCGACCCTTTGTTTGTTGATTATGAGGGTCTTCATTCTCTGTTTGGTTGCAGGAAGCTTTCATAGCTTAATTATCTGATGCTGGGAAACTTTAGATTTTTCCGTGATAATGAAAGTGTAGAAACAAAAAAGACAGAAATCTGAGCTTCAACTTAGAGATTATAAGTAATTGGCTTTCCTAAAAGTTAAGTTTTAGTTAGCACTAGCAACTCTATCCATGACTAGAAACTCAATAGAGAACCAGTTGCTGGCAATTTCTTGCATTTTGTTACAAGAAACCTTAAAGCTCTATGCTTTAGTATATTGCTTTTGTTTTGATTCTATTGTCGCATTGAAAGAACACCTGACTAATTGTATGTTTTATTCGACAAATAATCATACAATGTTCAGACTTTGTCAATGCTCAAATGCAGAAAGTTGACATAAACAGTTTATATTCATTTTCATAAATTCATATATATATATATATATATATATATATATATATATATATATATATATATATATCCAGGTTATATTAATGCATTTAAATGATAGAGTTTGCCTGTTGTGGTGATCCCATATCATTTATCCATAGTTAACATAAACATTACTTTGTTTTTTTTTTTCCCCAAAATCTTGAAGCAAGCCCCTGCTGTTTTTGTACTGCCATCTTGTATTGAAAAATTTATACTCCTTGTCTACTTGGCCTTTTCATATGGTTAAAGGTTGCATTTTTATCCCAAATAATCCAAAAGAAGCACTTGGATCCCAGAGTTACTTAAAAATGCAGACAACACCTACTCAAATTATGCTATAAATATATATCAATACATATCTGGAGCCATTAAATGTAGCTTGTGTCTGGACCTCCTGTTTTGCTGCTATGATAAATGATGAGAAGCATGTATCAACTAGCCGAGTGTTCTATCTGTCTTAATCTGAAAATTACTACTTTTGGTGCAACCTTTAAAGCTTTAATATTGGCAAGGCAAACTTAAGTTGGTCGGTTGACATGGTTTCCATATCCATAAGCATCAAAGTTGCATATCTGTTCTGTAATATCATTTGACTAGTTACCCTAGGAATCCTTAAAAAAATGGGAGTCACTAATTTGGTTTCTAGATGCCAGACTTAGCACCAGAATGCCATTTTCTACCATGTAATGCACACACACCCACGTAAAGCGACATACATATCCAAAGAAAATTTAGGATACAAGATTCTTGAGCACATAGGGTAAAATAGTCTTCCTCCAAAACCAATTTATGGTGGATTTTCATTTGCACATGTTGTTGCTAGGACCAAAACTCAAAAGGATTTTTAAGCTCCTGAAGATAAGTTGGAACTTATGCTTTAGTCATCGATAAATATGAGAGTTCAGATGATAACAAATGTTGACTGCATTTGCCCATTAACATGCAATTTTTTTTTTAACAGTGCATTGTTACATGTTTTTGATATCAGGGAACCCTGCGAATGATCTTGTTGATATCATAAATAAGAATCGAACAGCCCAAAAACTCCCACAGCTGAATGACAATCCTGGTCTTGGCTGCATGGCTCTGCAATATGTTGAATTATGCAAGGGCAACTGCACTAGCAATGGTGTTGTGAATTGCAAACCACCTGAAGATGACTTTACTGAGGTTTTTGGTCCGAATTGTGGCGTAGAGCTGCCGACATTTGGCACCATAACAGGCCATATTGTAGGTTGTCAATCTAAGTACCTTGAGCCATTAGTAGCCTTTTCCCATGTTCTGGTTAAGGACAGGAAAGCCTTATCCCTGTTGAGAAACAAATCACATACAGCGGTGGGAGTAGGCTTGGTTGGGGCTCGTAAAAGTTCCTTCTTTTGGTGTATTTTGTTTAGTGATGGCCAGACAAATTCCACATTTGCTCTTGAAGATGATGGGAAAGGGATTAAGCAAAAGGAGGGGTGCTTTAGTGGAAGCACTTTTCCATGCAGCAGTGGACAGAGGATCCCTGTGTTTCTTAACAATGTCATGGCCTTGCTTCTTCTGAATATTTGTCTGCTACAGCACTTGTATCAAACTTGGTTTGTATCCATGTGAATTATTTGCTGAGACAAGCTGTGCTCGGAGATTTTGTTATATAGGTGGGGGGACATTATTTTTCATTGTTGAAGATCCTTGTGAGAGTTGTAATTTTTTTTTCCATGCTTATCAATTTCGCGTAGTTTATTGATGCTCATGTGTTTCGAAGATTCTTATGCAGATTAGTGCTCTAAGTAGACTAGAAAAGGATGTGGTGCTTTTCCTGCAAAGGAGAATGAGGACTGGAATGTGAATCTTGTTCTTGCTAACGAGGATATAAACTACAGAAGTCAGTGCCTTATCTATCTCGCAGGAATAAGAAATTCACAAAAATTAGCCGTCATAAAACGTTGAGATATTCCTAAACAATAGTTTTTTAACTTCTTGCACTATAAACAGTATACATACCTCAAATAGAAACCTAGCTAAGCCTAGGTTGGTTGATGCAAAAAATACCACCAAATTTAATCATTCCTGAAATCTTGAATATAAAAACCTTATAAATTAAGAAAACAACACTCCTGGCTTTCCCACATGGAGGCAGGGAACGGGATCTGATAAAAGATTAACATTACCAATAATCATCAAAAAGTTATAATATCTGAAACTGTAAACGTTAAGAAGCCAAGAAAGCATGGACAAAATGAAGATTCAATATTTATGTTACTAAAAATAACGATAATACTAGTAAATATATATTCTCACATACAAAGTAGAAATTAATTTGAACCCTAAATTGAAGAAACACAAAAAATAGAAACCCTGCTGCAAAATCAACAATAATAATGACACTTAATTGTATCTGTGTCTTGATGGAGAAAGAAAGAAGTTACAACTTAAGACCAGGAAACGTGCTATCAAGCTTTTTCTGAACATCATCATCTCTCTTCTGGCGCTTTCTCTTAGGTTTTAATCCAGTCAGTTGAAGAATATCAAGTTCAATCTCGTCTTTCGTTAGCGAAACAGTAAAACTTGGTTTCTTGATCTCCTTCTGACTCGATCTCTTTTCTTTGCCCATACTCGGAACAACATCATTGTTAATTCCTTTCAACGACGATCCTTCAACATCAGTTACATTGCCAGTTAGATTTCTATTGTTAATGTGCAAACGAACAGCTAGTTTGGCTTTACTGATGATCTCGGGCTGTTGGTGAGGCAGTACGGTTTGATGGGATGATGAAAAAGACTTGAGCACTGACAAATTAGAATGCTTCATAGTTTCTTAATTAATAATTTTTTATGTCTTTTCAAGGAGATAGGGAGCGGAACTATATCCTATATGGTCACTACCATGCTTGGGCTTTCAGTTGGACAGACGGATTCGATCTTTTGCAGTATTTCACATATATTATACACGGCTTGATGATTTACAAATTATAAATAAATTCTCTCAGTCGGTTATTAAACCAAGAATGTCGGTGCTTGAAATCCAATCCGAATGGGATTCCGATTCTTATTATTGAGTTGAAGAAAGATGTTTTGAAGCTAAAATCATGGTGCAAAGTCATTTTGATGGCGCTTAGACAAATTCTGGAGGCGGAAGAAGTTAAGAAGTACGTAAGGATCAAGGTCCTGTCCTGATCATTATCTGCAATATTATATAGTACTTCTACTCGGTCATTTTTCCCGTCTTTGATAATCTTGTCCGACACTGATTCGCAAAGCATACCTCTAGTATCAAGCACATATATACAATAAGAGAAAGTATTGGATATGTCAGGAGTTGTACTTCACTCTTTCGTAAAAATATAAGATCTACCGGATAATACTGAATATTTCCTCTTATGATAAAAGTATTAATATGAATTTTCTATAGATCCTACAACACTTTGGAACAAATTATTGATCCTATAGGTCTTACATTCTCGTACTATATCAACCAGATCAAAATTTTAAAGACTGAATTCCACGAGTCCTGCAAAAAATCGTCATGACATGCATGCCTCAATAACATTCAGATCAGAAAGAAAAACAGACGGAAAATGAATATGGCCTTTACCTAACTTCAAGTTGGTAATTCTTCTTTATTCATGCAATTACTATGAGGAATGCTTATAGCAGAGGAATTTTGCACGTTGTTTTCAGTGGTAGGTTGTCTCATATGCTGCTTGACCTTCTGGGAAACCTGTGAATGATCTTGTTGATATTGTCATTAATAAGAATTAAACAGCCAAGAAATTCTCACAGCTCCATGACATCCCTGGTCTTGGCTGCATGGCTCTGCAATATGTTGAATTTTGCAAGGGTAGCTGCACTGGAATTAATGGTGCTGTGAATTGCAAACCACCTGAAGATCACTTATCTGAGGTTTCCGGTCTGAACTGTGGTGTGTAAGTTCCCACTTTGATACCATAAATGGTCATATAGTACGGTGTCAGTCCAGGCTCCTTGAGTCATCACTAGCTTTTCGGCATGTTCTTTTTAAGGAAAGTAAAGCTTTATCCCAAATGAGAAATAAATCACATAGAGGGGAGGGGATATGCTTGGTTGGGTCTCATATAAAGGTCCCTTCTTTTGGTGTATTTTATTTAGTAATGGCCAGACAAATTCTACTTTTTGACTTGAAGATAACGGATCAAGGGTGCTGTAGTGGAAGCACTTCTACATGCAGCAATGGGCAGAGTATCCCCTGTGTTTCTTAACGACTTTGGTAGATCAATATTGCTCCAAGTAGACTTTTAAGGAACACTGCCCATGATTTGAAAGTTAATTACCATGGTTATCACTAACAAGATACGTTCCTGACAATTAATAGAGGTTCAGCCCAATGTTGCTTTTGCTTGCAAAGAAGAATGGAGGACTTCAATGTGAATCTTGTCCTCGCTAAAGGGGAAAAAGGTACAGCAATTACTAATTCCTGCCCTATCTTTCTCGCAAGAAAGATAAAGTCACAAACTTTAGCAGTCATAAGATGTTGAGACTTGCCCAAAACATAAAAAAAATTAACTGACTAGCTCTATCCATCTTTTCCACAGACTACAATCTCCATGGTTAAAAACCCTAGAAAGAAAACAACAAAAATTCCAGCTTTTCCATATTGAGCTAGGAAACACAACTTAACAATAACAGAACTAATTAATTAAAATAACAATAACAATTCCAAAAATCATCAAGTTACAATCCTGAAACCATAATCTGTAAGAATCCGAGAAACAAAACAAAATAACCTAATTACCAACATTAAAATAGTACCAATTGAAAAAAAATAACATGAACGTGACCAATAATTCCAAGTTATGACATTGATAGAAATTTTGATCCCAACCCTAGCTAGAAAGCTTAAAACTGACAAAACACAGCAAAAGTACTGCCAACAGCGATTATACTGTTTGTGCTTTGACAGACTACCTATGATCTCAAGAAGCAATAGTTCGCAACTTATGACCAGGAAACGTGTTAACGAGATTTGCCTGCACATTATTGTCTCTCTTCCGGGGCTTTCTCTTAGGTTTTACTCCAGTCAATTGAAGAAAATCAAGGTCAATCTCCCCTTTCGTTAGCGAAATCGCAAAACGTGGTTTCTTGATCCTCACATTCTTCTTATTCTCACTACTACACATCACCCATTTATCTTCTTTTTTCAGACTGGAACTTATTATATCATTATGATCAATATTATCCTCCTCCTGCAGGACTGTCGACGGTCCGACGACATTATCCGATGGAGTAGTACTGCTGGCTGCATTGAATTTCTTAACATCGGACTTGGTAATGAAGTTATCAGTTCTAAATTGAACTAGAAATTTGCTTTTCTTCTCAGAAGAAGATTTTTGGAGTAGAGGATGATTAGGGGATTGCTTGGGGAACGTTGAAACTGGCTTTCTAATTGGTTTCATGTCTTTACCTTAATTGATGGAATCAAGACTTCGCGAATTTATAAATCTACCATTAAGTCTTATCATATTAACTAAATAAACTAGAACAAAACGTAGATTTACTCTTTCAAATACTATTCACACAATTTATTATTTATTAACTTTTTATACTTTGATCTCAGATCTTTATCAATTAATCTTTCGATCCACATCTTCATTTGTTCATCCATTTTGGTCATCGGATGAGAGAGAAGGAAGGAGAGAGAAAATTATTGGCTAAGCTTATTTAGGCCATTTTGATCGGCGAAAATCCACTAGATTTATTTATCTTTGAGAGATGAGTTTGTCTATGATTGTTTCAAGCCATTAAACCATTAGAGGAAGTAGATCAAAGCTAAAAAAGAAAACAAAGTTCCGATTTGATTGTGTAATTTGTTTTTGCTTTTTTAAGCATTAAAATGATTTTTAAGGTTTGAGATATGTTTATTGGCTTTATTTCGATCATTTAGAGATGTTTAGGGAAAAAATTGATGTCGGAATTCAATTTTTATAGGTCCGAAACTTGAACCTCAACTTTCCGACGAAGATTCCAGCGACCTCGATCGCCGAAGTTACACTTTTTTTTTTTTTTTTTTGCAGCAGCAGCCCAAGCCTGACCTCGCTAAGGCGTATCTGTTTTTTTTTTTTTTCCTTCCGTTTCGGCTTAGGAAATTGTTATTTATTTTGGTCCCTTCATTCTTTTTTTATTTATTTTGGTCATTCATCTTTTCCGATCTTTGATTTTTATCCCTATCAAAAATATTAAAATTTTATTATATGTGATTTTAACCCTTATAATAAAAAAAATTTTAACTTTTAGTAAAAATTTATGTTTTTTTCTGTTTTTTAATATGTTTTTATTTTAGTTATAAAAATTTTCTCATATTTAATTTTTATCCTTACTATGCTAAAACTAAATAAAATTTACTACCATAAGGTTTTTTTTCTTTCCTGAAATTTTCTTTCTATTCTAATTTCTATTTTGTTATTTTTTTCTTTCTTTTCGTCATTAAATTTAGTAAAAAAAAAATTTTAGTCTTTTTTTTGTAATTGTTTTTTTATATATAATTAAAAATTTTTCCTACAAGGAACTATTTTTTACTTTTAATAAAAATTTTTGTTATATTTTGGTTTTTTTTTTATGATCTTTCATTTATTTTGATCATTAAACTTTTATTATATTTAATTATTAATCATTTTACATTAAAATTAAATACATTTTAACTATCCTAAGTTTTTTTTTTTTTAGTGAAAATTTTTCTGTTTTGATTCTTATGTTATTAATTTTTTTATTTTAGTCATTAAAATTCTATAATGTTTACTTTTGTTCCCGCCTTATGCATAATGAAATTTTTTTAGTCTTATTATTTATAAGTATTTTTTGTATGCTTTTAGTGAAAGTTTTTTTTTTTTATCCTTTTATAATCTTTATTTTGTTTTAATCATTTATTTTTTATCATGTGTAATTTTATCTTTATTTTCTTTGCCAAGTTCTCGATATGACAGTAACTTTTTTATCTTTTTGTTTTGAGTGGTCTCTCTATCTCATTAATAAATTACGGATGAATAATATATGATAAAAATTAATCATCGAAAATTCAAAAAACTACCACATTATTATTTTAATTATCAGCTATTAATAAAATACATATTTATATAAAAAATATCTAATTAGCAATATTATATTATTCAACTTTACAGATTTTTCATTAGCTAACCCTATAGCAAATTATGAAATATATATTTTATTTTTTTAAATTATTTTCGAATGATATTGTCAAATAATGATTTGTAAATGTTAAATTTTACATTAATAAATGCATAAGAATGATATATAATTCATCACGTGGCAACGCGCGGGATATATGCTAGTATATATGAAAGGCCCACGGTTCACTTATTTCGGGTATTTTTCTTATAATATAATTGGTAGAAAATGGTAAAATAGTATTATGCAAATTACTAAAATTTATGTTAATTATTATTATTATTATTTTCTGTTGCCCATGACGAGAGAAGTTGAGAATTAACTATTGCCCGCGGGTAGGGGTCACGAATGATGGTTATTTAATATATATATATATATATATATATATATATATATATATATATATGATGGGATTTATTAGCACCAAAGAAGAAAATAAATCTCATAAACGTTTACAAATTATTAACGGGAAAGATATTTTTTTGTTTTTTAAAAAATAGAGAGAGATAATTCTATTCAAAGAAATTCCACATGCCCATTTACAATTCAGCTATAATTCTAAGCTTTGAAATTCCGTCTGACCATGAGTAAAACACAATATGCATGATCATGAAATACAAATCCAGCCTTGGATTTTCATCTTTTATTAGATACCAGCTAAAGAAGTTTCTGGATCAATTCAGTCAGCGATATCGTTTGATTAAATACCTAATGTCAAACAAGAATCAAGTGTGGCAAACTAATTAATAATAAGGTAATAAAATAAACTCACAATTATCGTGATAGAACCCTAAAGAACACAGAACACGAAAAACGATTGGCGGGAGGCTGCCGACAGCATGAAAATCCCTTTCTTCGTAACCTACGGCCGTAAGAATCATGGTTTTGATAGCGCTCTCTCCCCCACTCCCCACTGTTTCATTTTAAAAGGCAGGAAGCAAAACAAAACATAAATCAAATACATGGGACTAAAAGCTCAAAAAGAAAGTGAAATATCAAAGTGCCGCTGGAAGTTGAAAAGAATTGCAAGATCCAAAACCTTTTTGAAACATTAAAAAGCCAGTCCTCTATATTAGTTTTCTTATAATTATAATTTATTATAATTTATATAGGTTCAATTTGTCTATAAAAATTAATTAAATAACTTAGCTAATTTATTATTGTGTGATAATCCACGTTATCTTTTTTTTTTTTTTTTTGACATGAACCCAAACTACAACAAAAATAGATTGGATTGAAGATAAGCCTCACTCAACGTAAGGTCATGGATTGTAAGGACGGACACAAGTGTCCTAACCGTCCGACATGGCTAATGTTCATGTCTTATTTTTTGAGATGCATTAGAAAGATTAGTTTGGTAGGCTAAGAACATAATCTCTAAAAAAAAAATAACAAACAAACAAAGATCTAATTGTTAGTTTTTTGAACTTTTGCTAACAAATTGAAGCGAGTTTAGCCTAAAAAACCTAATTTTTTAAAGCTAAATCGATCATCCAAACTTGGATGATGTGGCATGATCTTAACGGTCAAGGATTATCTTTTTTCACTATAAATACCAACCTCACATCATTACGAGAAGATTAGAATATTTGCATCGGAAAATTTTTTATTTCGTAACTTTCGATCTCTAGCAAAAGAAACCCCCGAACTCTCATTTTCAAAACCTTATCACTCATACATTAGACAACACCTAAAGCTTCATCTCGTTTGAACTTTGATTACCTACCCGTAATCACACGACTTGCGCCTTATTAACATTGTCTCGCTTATTTTCTCATGCCTATCACTCTTTGCATTATTTCTTCTTGGATGGTTGATCATTGCTTCTACAAGTCATAACAATAGCTTCATGTATCTTGACTAACCTCGCGTATCAATCGTCTAATCAATTCTCAAGAACCTCATCTATATTTTGGCTACTCCATGAGGGAGTTAGTGATTGTGAAGAATAATAATCACTTTCAAGACTACCAAAAAGAACATCAATCATGCCATTAGATCAATCGCTCGCAACAATGATGATTCTCTACATGATACTAATCGAATGCCGATAGTGCTAGCCTACTTAATACTAAAAATGTCAACAATCCACCAATCCCTCAAATCTATAGTGGCAGCTTGCCAACACTATCGGCACCACCAAAAGGTGTCCTACCTCAACCCGTTGCCTAGGCCTCTACCACAGCTTATTCCATATTCGAGTGTCTTGAAGGTTTTTAGAATGCTTAGTTCATATTGTAGTAGGAACAATAACGGATGTTCAAAGTCCTCTAAGACTATGATGTTGTATTTACTTAAGCTCTTCATAACATCACACAACTCGCTATTTACAAGTGGAATTCACCAAATTGTTCTCCATCAAACTATGACATCACCAACTATTAATATTGTTGATCATGTCATGCTCGCTCGTTCAACTTGATGATAAGAAAGACATTTCCCCATCAAAAGACCACCATGTAGCTGTACATGACCACCAACCTCCTCATTATGTTGCTACTTCTAATGGTCAATGCAATTATCTTACCAAGGACTTAGAAAAGTTCTTTAAATAGAAGTTGGCAAAATCTACCTGCGAGTTTGATCTTAAACTTCCTACGTAACTCGCATTGCGATGAGGTTTTACTCAAAGGACTATGTAAGTCTTAAGTTTAAAGTTTTCAATAGAAATCAAGGAGATGCCAAGGAGCATCTTATGAAGTTTGTAGAGATCTTGAGTGTTTATGGTTTAGATAATGATTTGAAATTGAAAGAATTTTCTAAGTCTCTAACGTACAAGGCATATATATATATATATATATATATATATATATATATATATGTCAGCTAGAAATAAGAGCTAGCTACCACTATCCGTCATAAAAAAGAGTTGACAAGTATCGTCTACCATGAAAAATAGCTAGAAAGTTCTATCTCATCACTCGAAAAAGACCGACAAGTACCGTCTCGCCACAAAAAAAAAAAAAGCTAATAACCACTACTTGTTAAAAAAAAAAATTGATAGCACCAAAACTAATTTCCAAAAAACAAAACAAAAATTAATGGTGTCATTGATGGTGGTCTCCGTGCAAGACCAGTAATATGGTTCGTTGGGTGTTAGTCCGCACAACAACTACTATTGGCATGCACACCAATGAACTAATAATTTTTTTTGTATGAAATTTACTTTTTATTTCTTCACGTGTCATGGAAGTTAATGGTGTATCTCAAGAATTTTGAAAAAGAGTTCTAAGTTATTAATTTTTCTCTCAACTTAACAAAAAAAAAAAAAAAC